AATAGGTAATTGAATTCTATTGAAACACTAAAAGCTTGAGGTCAATCAGCGTTTATTCAAATCAGGAAATTTGTATATCAGAATTATTAAGGGAGAGTTATTATGGTGTTGACATGCGGCAATACTTTCTCTAAATGTAACCTTTTTTTTGCAATGAAAGAAGCTTTATTAATGAAAAAGAGAGTACAAAAATGAAGCAAGAAAAAAGAAATAAAGTGAAAAACGAGAAAGTAAATAAAACCAACCCACGACACAATAAAACCCCCTCAATAGTAGACCCTCGGATCAAGGTTTCTCGCGGGTTTGAGATCTTGTCCTCATATGATGTGACCGCCGCTTACTCTTCCTGTACATTCCGATACTGGTGTTCAAATTACCTGTAGGTATGTAATTTTCTCTTGTGATCAACAAAGCTTTGTGACAAATTTCTCGGTTTTCATCAGAGTCCCACTGGTCTTCTCTAAATGTAACCTTGAAATGTATTATTTATAGATAGATTCCTTCGGTATACGGAGTACATATTACGTAGTACTCCTGGGCGTTTTCCACACCGGAAAGAGAGGGGGATTTAGGATGTTTTCTTTTGGACTGAAATTTGCTGATCTGGTCTGGTCTGATCTGGTCTGGTCTGGTCTGGTCTGGTAAACGTCTAGTCTCTGTGTATTTTATAACTATCCAAGTCTGGTCTGGTCTGGTCTGTTTAAGTCTGGTCTGGTCTGTTTAAGTCTGGTCTGGTCTGATCTGATCTGATCTGATCTGGTCTGGTCTGGTCTGGGACTGAAAACAGTCCAAAAGAAAACATCCTTACCCTCTTTGTCGCCTTATAAAATGTTGAGCCTCGTTACAACATTTTTGCAACAATTTCTATTAATTGTTCCTGACCGGATGAAAATGGGCCGTGTATTTCTTGGCACTAAGGCTGAGCGCCGATCTGGGAATTTCCGTTCCGTACCGAGGAACCGTTCCGTACTGTTCCAGAACCGAACAGTACCGTACCGAGCTTTTTTAATAATATGCTACGGTACCGGTTCTTAGGGAGAACCGTCCCGGAACCGTATTGAACCGAACCGTCTCGTACCGTCCCAAATTGTCCCAAAAACTAGTGTTTTAATACTCCCTCCGTCCCAATATAAAAGGCACATTTGCGTTTGGGGAGTTTTTAAGGGTGAACACTGTTTGACACTGTTTAGACACTGTTTGGCACTGTTTGGACACTGTTTGGCACTGTTTTGCCCTGTTTTGTTTGCCAAAAAGGGAAATGTGCCTTTTATATTGGGACGGACCGAAAAGGAAAGTGTGCCTTTTATATTGGGACGGAGGGAGTATTATAATATATTATAGTAGTACTTTGTATATAATATATTACCGAATATAAATGTTAGTGATTGTATGTCCCGAAAACTAGTGTTATAATATAATAATATATTATATATAATATATTATCAAGTATAAATGTTAGTGACCGTATGTCCATATATTACAAATATGCAATCTTGCATATTCTTTGGGCGTAATCCAATTATTAAGACTTGACAACACTAAAAGTTAGCTTTAAAACAAAAACAATACTAAATGATATAAACAATGCTACATAAATAGGGTTAATTATATTTCATGGGGGTTAATTATTTAGGAACCAAATAACACTGGAGAAACGTACCGAACTGTACTGAAAATTGGCACGGAACGGGACATGTGTTCTATATATATGCGGGACGGTACCGGTTCTTGATTTTTAAAAGAACCGTACTTTGAGACGGAACAAGTTTTTTGAAATAACCGTCATGTACCGTACGTCCCATGCTCACCCCTACTTGGCAGTGCCACTTAATCTAGACCATGTAATAAAATGGTTACCCGCTAACCCGCGGGGAAAACCATACCCTGCTTTAGTCGAGTATAGTTTGCTTAAAAAATACCCAACGGGTAACGGGGTGGTTTTGGATAGAAAAATTATTTAACAGACAGGTGCGGGTAATAGTATACCCGGTCCCGAACCGCCCTGTTGCCATCCCTACAAATGACACTTAGACAAACAACACTTGTTTGTCTGTGAACTACAAGTCTTTTAATGAGGTTCACAAACAAAAACAAGCATTCTCACACACCACAAATGCTAAAGGTGCCTCAATTTGTACCACAGATCATTTTGTACACATGTACACCCTAGCTGCCTGTGTACACAAGCAACTCGTTTGAAAAAAGTCAGGACTTTCTGTCAAAATGTAAATTTGTACTTCTCCCAGATAGTGAGTATAGGAGTGGATATAAAAGCAGAATTTTTGTTTGTTTTGAAAATAAAAGAAATTTTTTATTATGTAAAAATCTATGTTTAAAGAACCAACCCGACTCGAATGAGTTGTCTGGAACCGGCCGACCCGGTCACTCCAATGGTCCATAATGCATTGAAAACCGGATGAACCGGTCAAAAAGCAGTTTTACCAGTCAAACCCCGCAAAACTGGACCCGGTTTTGGTTCCCTCTCACACTTGCTTACTTCACCGATCAAGAAAATACGTAAAAAAGAAGAAATGCATCGTAATTGAGATGTGAAAGGAAAACTGCACATGTGATCATTTCCGGATTTAACTATCTAGGCGCTTTGGAGAGTAGCTCATGAACTTCAAGATTAGCGAAGCGTAAGCACCGACACCTGGATCATAAAATAAGTATGTAAGACACTAATAAGGAAAGAACATTACTACTACTACACTACTACTACTCCTGCTGCTCCTGCTGCTCCTGGTGCTGTTGCTGCTGCTTTAATGGATTCTTAAAAAAAAGTACACACACTTTGTACATTTCTTCACTCTTCATCTTTAGGATATAAATAAATAATTTAGAAATGAAAAATACAAATTTAGCATATTTCATTTTAACTTTTATATATTTCATACATTTATATCATGACAAAGTTAGGTACTATGACATATTTGTATATGTTATATTTTGTATTATACCTATACAAAAGATATTTGACGATAACAATTAACAATATATAGCAAAGTGCATTTATATTTTTTTAAGGAAAAATGGCTATATAGCCTAAAAAAATACACCATATAAAGTTAATAGCCTTTGTTTTCTAATATAAATCATATAACTCGTCTGTATGTGATTTAAAACCGACCGAAACATGAAATACCATTTCAGTCCTTAAATTATAATTTAAGTTGTTTTGATATGATTGGATATACACTCTTCATCCACAGCCCGGTAGCTCACTATTTATGGGGTCAGAGATTCCCGGTTGCAAAATCTGAGTTCAGAAATGAAAAAATTAAGGTGAGGCGTTTGTGGTTTCCGACATCAGGGAGTAAGATAAACACTTACGGGAGTTAATTAATGTGTTATGCATCAATTTAATAAAAAAATGTGTGTTTCGTAAAGGGAAGGAAAATAGAGAGTGGGTGAAATCCAAACGATTGATGAATTCATTATTGATACCGTGATATTTCGTCTTTTAGTAATTAATGGATGATACATCTGTAAATAAGTTAATTGGTTTATTAGTTATTACTAATTGGGTTGGTTGTTAGGGAAAGGTTTAACCACTAAAGGGTTTGCTTATAAAACAAAATAGTGAAGAGATGAGATTGGATATACCATCACACCAACATACCAATTGTACAGAGGAAGTGTTATGATGGTACACATAAATGCTAATTTCGCGGGATAGTGCGGACGGGAAGAAACTGCCAATACTGAAAAAGGTTATATTTGTCATAATTTATCGATGACATTTTGATAAAAGCTATACATTTTATTTTTGTAAATGTATAACATTAATTAAAAGGTGTATATTTAAAGGTGTATATACTCCCAAATTTCTCTTTTTTTATATGATTCATTTATTCATTTGAATAAAATTGTGAATATTACTACATTTGTGTCATTGACTCATTTACTTTTGGTTGAATATATGTGATATTATAAATGCTAATCAACCATAAGTTTATTTATTGTAAGAAGTGATTTTTTTTCTAATGATCGAAAAAAAGTTAGAAGTTTTAATTTATAATATTTTATTATTTCTTTTTCTATTTTTTCCTTTTACATTTTATTTAAATATTAAATAAAAGAAGATGAGATGACCTACTTTCATTTTCTAATTCTAAAATATAGAACTTTATCAAATAAAATAATAACCATAAGAAACTGAATCAAATCAAACTAAATTGAATTTCGTAATTTTCACTATGATAAACCAAACTTCAAATTGAACCGAAACTAAATCGAAACACAAATAATTTTAGTTTGGTACCAATTTTACAAACTAAATAAATCGAAACTGAACCGAAACACAAGAAAACCAAACCGTGAACTGAATTACCCTAGCCTAGATTAAAACAAGCCCTCTCAAGTCTCAACTCTCAAGTTCACACGCCCCTCAAGTTCAAAGTTCAAACACGATGCTTCTTCCTTCGAGATTTTCCCCTCAAGAATATTAACCAGGACAAAATTACTTCCAAAAAGGTCTCTATAACTTTTAATTGACCACACCTGGCTTCTGGATTTGGCGGTTTCTGCAGACCCTAAATTTCGATATCAGGGTTAGCCGGTTAGTGGGTTGCTGCTCTACTTCTTGACATTGCTTGTTTTATTCGATTTTCGCTGATGAATATGAAGTTTTTATACTTAAGAATGACTATTAGCGTTTTATAATGGAAACATCTTTGAATTCACGTTATTCTTATACTACAAATAGTTAGAATTTCAATTGAGAACTACGACCGTGTTCATGTTACACATTATGCCACAAAATTGCCATGTCCAAAAACGAAGTATAATAATGATGGTGATCGGGATGATGACTATGACTATGATGATGATATAAAAGCTCCAAAGTGGTGATACTTTATTATTGGATAATGAACGCATCTAGAACGATGATTCATATATTGCATGTTAAGAATGTGAACTTTGCTCTGAATTAACAAAAGCATTATTGACATCCTTCAAGAAATCTTCTAATCCATTTTACTATCAAAACTTGAAATTTTCCTTTTGTGTTCTTAATCAAGATCACAATCCCGGGAATACCTCAATCTATTATTTTAAGAAATGTGACATCATATTCGTCAATCACATACTTTTGTCATCAACTACCCAATACAAACAAATTGATAACATTGTATCATTTCTACCAAGCTACTAACAATGTTTCTTGATTTTAAATCACTTTCATCATCAAATATACTATCCTAAACTTGTATTATAGGAGCCAGCGAACATGTCTAAGTTCATGAAATCGACCGCTTCATAAATCTGTAGTCATTTAAATGTCTTATATGGAGTAACAATTGCATACGCAAGATCTTTGACGGAATTATTAACTTATCTAAGAGTTACGGAGTATACTATTTATCGGGATGGAGAGAACCCTAGTTTTATGATAAATACTAATACTAAACTTGAGGCTCCGGGGTCCTGCATTGTCCTCGCCCAACTATTACCATTGGGATCTTCTTTCTTTTCCTTGGAAAACAATAGTACATGGCTATGGCAAAGGATAAAATTCCACCAGCTGCCGCGCCAGCAATGAATCCGGACATTGCTATCATTGACACACCCTCACCCTTGCACTGAGGCAGAGATGGGGCACCACATAGTCCTGCATTATTGCCATAGCTAAGATAGGTTTTGTTTTGAAAGCTTGGGACAGGTCCTGTCAAACTGTTATCTGCCACACTGAATGTCACCACCCGACCGAGCAGACCGAGTTCGGGAGGTATTCGTCCAGAAAACTGGTTGTTGTGAAGCTTAATAGCATTCAGGAGTGAGCATCTTGCAAGGTCTTGAGGTATCTGTCCTGATAATTGATTGAATGAGAGATCAATGGTGGTCACAAAACCAATGATTTTGGAGATGTTTGATGGAATAGGCCCACTGATTTGATTCCTTGAAAGATCCAAGCCTGTCAAAGATTTGCAATCCTTCAGACCAACTGGAAACCTTCCTTTGAGTCCCATATCAGAAAGCATGATATTGAGAACACGGCTTTCTTCAGGATGCCAGCACTCAATCCCTGTAAATCTACATATGAATCCTTCAGTGTAGTTGCTAAAATCCCAATCAGCGAAGTAGCCTTTTGGATCTTCCAAAGTGGACTTTATTGATTTTAGACAATCAATATCACTCTGGAGACAATGGCAAAGACTGCTGCTCAATAGAAAAGAGACCAAGATTGATAGAAACATGATGGCAGGTCTGTGATTCAGCATTACGCTCAAATCGTTGGTTGGTTGGGACATTCAGTATCACTACCAACTAGTATCCCAGCCTCCAACTTCATAAATCAAACTCAAAATATTTTCATCTTGATGGAATGCTGGAATTGGAGAGCTAATATAAGAAACCAAACACAAGCCGCGTTCATGAAAAATTGGTTCTATGGGTTGAATCAGTCAAAAAAAGACTGCCTTGGACTCACAGCGAAAATGAGAGGGGACAGACAGGTAGAGAGAGGCTTAGAGCGGACAAAAAAATTGTACTTTTTGGTAGATAATTGTTTGTGCACATACAATGTATACTTCATTTGTTTGTATACACAAGAATTGGGATGGACATTAAAAATAAAAGAAAATATTTATTAATTAAAGAGCTATGTTTAAGGAATCGACCCGGATGAGTTCATCCGGAACCGGCTAACCCAATCACTTCAACGGTCCAGAATGCATTGTAAACCGGATGAACCGGTCAAATTCGGTCATAAACGGTAAATCCCTGTAAAACCCGACCCCATTTTGTTCTTTCCTCACGCTTGGTTACTTCGACCAATAAAAAACATAAAAGAAGAAGAGATGTGAAAGGGAAAATTTGGTTTCAGGGGTAGAAGCAGAATTTGAAGTATCTGCGTGAGATGTTAAAGGTGGGTACCCACTTCCTTAGAAGCAGAATTTGGAAAATTTTGACTCGATAGACGGATACCCACTTCCTCGAATCTAAACGTTTATTATCTGAATTTATAAAATCTGATTTGAGTGTTTTTGTTTTACCTGAATTTGTGTTTGATCTATGAATCTTTCCAACTTCATTTGAATGCTTTAACCTGATCTGAATTTTTTTAATTTGATTTGAATTATCTGGACATTTCGATTTCATCTGGTCCAAAGCTTTTTTATCCCATTATTGAATATATCAGACCAAAAAATTTAGTTTAAATGAAAACATCTTATTACCTTGGTCTCGGTGAAATTTGCCAACTATGAATTAGGTGAAAAATTAGAAAAGTCAAAGTTGGATGTTTGTGGTTTGTGTAAAGGAGAAACAAATGAGCAGAACTATAAATTAATTAGTTCAATTGAAAATTGACAAAGTTTTTGGGTCGATAGAAAAAGGAAAGTTGGCAAAATTAATTTGACATATGAAGTATTATTTAGCAATACCATTTCATGTGTTACACATTAAACTACTTATGTATTTAAAGTCCACAAGCTTAAATTGATTCTAACAACTTGATTTATTAGAGCTACAATTTATATTAAGAAAATTGAATTTACACAATTGATAATGTGAAATGAAGTAAAAATGATATAGAATCACACAAATATGGAAAACTACATTTGTACACAAATTTAGTACACAAATTGTACACAACCTCCTAGTTGCTTGTGTATATAGAAAAATGGTTTGAGAAAATAACATCATTTTATGCCAAAATGCCTATGCACACATGAAGTGTAAAATTTGTGTACAAATTTTATGTACAACACGAATCACCCTACAAATATTACCAAATTTGAATTAGACAATTTTAGTAGAGGATACCAATTAGAAAGTATAAGGGGGTGTTTGGATCGGATTCTTAAAACCGTTTCTGCTCCTTCAGGGAAGAGAAGCAGAAGTCGAAGGATTTGGGTGAATGTGCAGAAGTACTTCTTATACTCTAATTTAGAGGGTGTTCGGATCTGATTCTTAAAACTGCTTCTGCTGCTTCAAGGAGCAGAAGCGGGAGTGTTTGGGTAAGAGTGCAGAAGTGATTCTGGTGCTCAAATTTACTCCTAGAGTCAGTTTTTAGAAGCTGAGGGTGACCAGCTTCTGGGGTGACAGGCTTCTGAAAACTGATTCTGATTCTGTTTCTGCTTTAAAAAAGAAGCAGAAGCAGAATCAGTTCCAAACACCCCTTACTCCTATAAGCAATTCTTTTAGTAGTTCGGGAAAATTAGTTTCTGAAAACGGATTCTGTTTCTGCTTAAAAAAACAGAAACAAAAGCAAAATCAATTTCAAACATATTGTAAGACAACATTAACACAATTATTTACTAACTAATAAAAATCCATAAAACTTTATGATCTTTGATTAAATTTGTATTGAGGATTGAGGTCCCGATAATTAATTTTAAGTGAAATATACTCTGTTAGTCTGTTGTTACAATTTAACGTGTTCTTATAAGTAACAAAAATTCTATAGGCACCCAAAAATGTACCCCATTTTGTAATCACCGCTTAAATTGCCTGTGTACACAGGCAATTCGTTTAAAAGAGGGCAAGACTTTCTATCCAAATGTCTGTGTGCACAGATGGTGTACAGATTGGGGTACAAATTGAGGTACCCCAAGCAGGACTCTATAAATAATTCCGTGAAGGTTGCTTCAAAAAACAATTCCGTAAAGGCTGTCACTGGAATTATCATAATTAACTTCTGCCCAAATCATCAATTGACCCAAATAATTTCCTCAGAAATTTGGTGGAATCAATGAATAACATGGACTGAATATGTCTCAGACTAGATCAGATCAGATCACACCATATTAAACCAGATCAGACATGAATAATTATAAAAAGAAAAAGAAACTAGACCAGATCATCAAATTACACTCGAATTAAAAAACATCCTAAATTTTCATAAAAGTATACAATTTGAAATTGCTTACATTCGATGGGGTGAAAAGAGTCTTCTCATTAAACTTCTTTTTTACCCTCATCTCAAATACTCCGTACCAATAACTAACTAACCGAGATACCAATCATTGAACAACGAACACCAGTGTTAATAGGGTTTAAATAAGGTAATCTCAGAAATTAGTTCCAACCAGTTCGGACTTCGGCCAAGAACCTTGCCCGGCAGAGCGGCCGGCCACCGGCGCACCTACGCTTGGGACAAGAGCTGATTTTTCCGTCTGCTGTAAAACCGTACAGGTACGCCGGTTCATACTTTATTTCAAATTACATAAAATTAAGATGAGAAAACGTTAGTAGAATCACAAATTAGTTATTTTAATTGAAGAGTCTATTTGTTACACTTTAATAAGCTTATTCAATTGATTCTGTTGAAATTTATGAAGTTTTAGATGAATTGATCGATTCTGTTCAATTGTAAAAAATTATACGTAGTATTTAAAATATAGGTAGTACTTTATTAATATAATAAAGAAAAAAACTTAAATGAAAATAACTAAAATGATTATTTACATTACTTGTTTTGATAATTAGACAACTTAACACCCAAAATCAAAAGTTACTTGGTTAGTGAATTGATTGGTAAGATTGATAAATCGAAAAGTAGGTTTAAGAGGCTCGAAAAGTGTCAATTTTTTCTAATACTCCCTCCGTTCTTTATTATCTGTCTCGCATTCCATTTTGGGACGTTTTTTATTATTTGTCTCTCTTTCTATTTTAGGAAAGTTTTTGATAAAATACCCCCACTTTTTTTACTTTTACCCTTCTTACTTTTTACAAACTACTTTCTCTTTCCTACTTTATCATAACTTTACTCTACTTAATATACTATCTTTCCTACTTTATCATCACTTTATCACCACTTTACTCTTTTTAATATACTCTCTTTTCTACTTTATCATTTACCCTACACACTCTACATTTACCCTACTATTTTTCTATTAAAACCCGTATCCAAGGCTAGCGGGACAGATAATAAAGAATGGAGGGAGTAAAAAATTGGCATTTTAGTCCGCTACTCGCTTACACCTTTAAGTCCTTAACTAGTTATCTACTTTGATTACGTAATGTCTTTCTTTTACATACGGAATACATAGAAATTACTCCTTACTTTGTACTTTTCTTGATACGGGTACAATTGTAGGTTTGTAGTTGCCGATTGAAAATTCAAATTAATACTGGTAAAAATGTTATAAAATTTCAAATTAGGTGTATGTTTAAAAAATTTGAGTAGTAAATATTCTGTAGAGAATAAAACATAATGCTCCCACTTTGGAATTTTGAAACATTTTTTTCTATTTAGAGTAATTTCTTACATGTTGACTTGGGGATGATGGGTTGTGAATTCTTTATCAAACATCGTTGTGTTGTTAAATTGTTGCCTTTCACCTTTTATTGTTCAAATTGGACTTTGCACCATGTTTTTACTAAATCTTTGTTTTTGTATTCCCAAACTCATATGAAAAGACAAAAATGTTTCTCAATAAGGAACATGTTGAAGGCCAACATAATTGTTAATGGAAGACATTTTTGTCTTTTCGTACGGGGTTGGAGTGCAAAAACAAAGATTTTAAAAACGGGGTGCACAGTCCAATTTGGACAATAAAATGGGATGCAAATGCATTTTTGTCTTTTTTATTCATACTCTGTTTGTGTTAATAGTAGAAAATCAAAAGTGATATTAAATGGATTTGTAGTATTAAGTGTTGACTTAGAAAATCTTAATTATTAAGATATAAATATATAATTGATGGTTTTGCTTTGTAATGCTAAAAAAGAAATGTATTTAAGTAATGCTTAATTTTTCCTTTGATTTTTATTTTGTAATTGTGATTTGTTTAAATATTTCACATGTCGAATTAAATAGTCCTTAATTTCTTTATTATAGAGTTTTTGTATAGTATTATGGAAAAATACTTCAAATAATACAGAGTACAAATTATCTTTCATTAACTGAAAATAATGCATACATTGGGAGTAACTTTTAATAATACCAACAATTTAAATATATAACAGAAGTGATATAGAGCCATTTTCAGTAACAATTTAGTCATTTAACTCATCACAAAAATAAAATCAAAATATCAAATAAGTGTCTTTAATCTTTATTCTCAAATATCATTTATTTGATTGTTTGATATCGATTTTTTATGTCTTGAATGACTGGATTTATTATAAAAAAGAGGTTCCATATTACTTTGATTTATATTCAAATGCTACATAGTTGGTATTATTATAAATCATTTCCAAAGTACGTATTTTTATTGGTTTATTAATGATAGGTGGTATTATATAAACTTAGTACACCTTATTACATATTTTCCCTAGTATTATTATCATTGTTCTAAAACTCGCTAGGCGCTAGTCGGGCGGTTGCGGGGCGCCTAGCGCCCAGTGGCGGAGCCAGACATTTAGGGTTAAAGGGGCCGGTCCTTAACAATTTTACATTGCAGGGGCCAAAGTGTAAAATATCAACATACTTTCTAAAGATTAAAAGTATTTATACATAATATTTACTTAAGAATTTTTTTCTTGTAGGGGCCGTGGCCACCTCCAGCCCCTCCCTGTCTCCACCCCTGCTAGCGCCTAGGCGGCCGACTAGGCCGATTTTTTGGCCGACTAGGCCGATTTTTTGGCCGACTAGGCCTCTACGGTTAGGGCCGACTAGGCCGCCTAGGCCGATTAATCGGTCCGCCTAGGCCGATTTTTTGAACAGTATTTATTATACTAGTACATCTTAATTTAGAGAAAAAACGTGTTTACCTTTATTTTAAGATTAAAAACATTATAAACTGTCGCCCCTAGGCCCTAAATTAAACAGGACTGACTCTGCCTTTTATGGCAGTGTGCTGGTGTATAATTCCATTGTTTCAGAGAATGCTGGAGCATAATAAGAACTGTCACCATGATATCATCAGTAACCTCCCTGAGAGTTTAAGGGAAACCATCCTAACATATTTGCCTCTTCAAGATGCTGTTAGGACTAGTGTGCTATCAACTAAGTGGAGGAACACATGGACTAAGATTTCACATCTTTATTTTGATGAGACTCTCTGGCCTGGATCAAGTGGGGGTGACAAACTGGAGCTTAAAAGTAAATGTGTTCGGCGAATACTCCATACTTTGCTGCGACATGATGGTCCTATAAACACACTGTTTCTTTCAATTTCTAAGCTAGGAATTTTCCCTGAAGTCGACAACATAATGTTAATCCTGTCCAAAAGTGACGTTGAACATCTCGTACTTGAATTTTGTTCCGGCAAGTATATATTGCCTTCTACATTTTTCAAGTGTCAGAGACTAAAACATCTATCCCTTTGTTCCTGCTTGTTTCAACCATCTTCCAACTTCATTGGATTTAGCCAGCTTCTCACCGTTGAAATGATTGATGTAGCGATGAGTTCAGAACAGCTTGAAAGTCTTATTAATGGTTGCCCCCTACTTGAAGCCTTGACGCTGAAAATCTCTCCCGTGTGTTTGACTCTTGATATTCAGGCTCCTAAACTTAAGTACTTTGAGTTTATAAGCAAATTAGAATCGGTTTGTTTCAAAAACACTCCACATCTCGTGGAGGTGGTAATTGTATATGATTACGATACACGGATTATTGAATGGAAAGAAACGTCTTTACGTGAGGAATCTAATCTTAATGAACTTTTCAAGTCTCTGCCTGCACTTAGCAATCTGCGCCTTGGTTATACGCTTCCAAAGGTATGAAAGTTTCTATATCTACTTCACTATAAACAAATTGACATGCTATATGTACAATAACATTTTTGCCTTTCCATGTAAAACATGAAGTTTGTATCTTTGATTGGACTCCCAGAAAGACATAGTCCGACCGCTGTCTGCCTTAACACTCTTGTACTTGAGTGGATATGTTTAGAAAGAATGGGTGAGATGGCATCTGTGCTTTTTATAGTTAGAATGTCACCAAACTTGCAAGACATCATCATTCATGTGAGTTATTTTTCATATTTTTTTCTTTTATATGCTCAAGTTGTTGAACTCATTCTGATATTTAGAGCTTTATTATGTTGTGTAACATGTGATGGCATCCCTTTTTATTTGTTCCTTTTAGCTATATAACATTGTTGGTACTGCTGACCAAAAGCCTTCTCCCAAGTCACTGGACGTCGAAGAAAACTCGGATGTGAAACTGAATCAGCTGAGAAGTGTGCAATTCTCAGGTTTTACAGGCACAAGAAACCAAATGGTGCTTGCAAAACTTCTTTTAACCAAATCTCCGAGGCTCAATAAAATGGTAATTAAACCCAACACCAAACAGTGCAATGCAAAAAGAGGATTTTCGATATTGAAAGAGCTAATACGGTTGCCACGGCCATCAGCAGCTGCAGAGATTATCTTTGGATAGGTGAGGCAATAGTGTCTATGAATATTTGACTATGGCAGCCACAATTTCATTTGCATGTTTTCTTATCTTCATTTTTGCGGACCTTGGCATTTGCAAGAGAATTAAATGATGCACTTTTCTATCATTTAACAGGCACAAAACACCAAAATTAGACAAGATGCTAGGAGTTGGCATAATGTGCTAATGAAGAATGAATAATAACTTTGTATATTATATTGTCGTTTATATTTCTCAAATCAGGCTGCTACTGTAATGGCTTAAACCTGTGTTTGTGCATTTTGCTATTTGGTAAAACACTAAAATTCAACATTTAAGGTCAGTTTTGTAGTGCAATTCATTACGGAGTACTATGGACCTTTTAATTTATCATTTGTTATACCACCTCCATCAGTCTACATGCCTATGTTTGAGACATTTGTTAAAAGAAATGAAATTATGTTATTGGTATTAAATTTCAAAATACGAATAGATTTTTATCTCGCAAGTCGTATCAATTATGGCAATTCATTTTGATCTAAACTTCTAAAGTGAGCACTTTGGTGTATTAACTTTACTTAATCGCAAACATAGTAGGGGTGAGTTCGGTTCTTTCGGTTCGGTTTTGACCTAAAACCAAATACAGAATCAAAGTAAAAGTTCGGTTCGATTTTGGTTCGGTTTTACACTCCAAAACTCGGAACCACGGTTTAATTGGTTCGGTTTGTTTCGGTTCGGTTTTTTCGGTTTTTTACTAAAAAATTGTCATTGGATTAAAAATTGATATAAAGGTTGGAAGGATCAAACATATTACATAAAAATGCAAGCGTACTTGAACAAATAAAGAAAATAATAATAAACAAATATGTCTTGAATTATATGAGTATGCGGGAAAGATAAAAGTGTGTATCTTTTCTTAATTTACATTGTTTGTGACTAGTTTGAAAAAAGTTTATGAATACATACGTCTTAAGTGATATAGTTGAGATGAATATTCATTTGTTTTATCAATATAAAAAATTTAAGTTACAAAAGAAAAATGAGTTACATAAAAATAAAAGTTAATTACTACAAAAAAACCAGTAAACATATATAATCATGCAACAAATTGCAACATACACACATAAAAGACATAATAGATCAATATAGCTACATTATTATGGGCAATGAATGTGTAAATGCATTTATAAACTAAACTAAACTAAACATAGCACAAACATTATTTCTCTAGCACACGAAATTTAAAAATTATTGATGATATTAAAATTAATGCTTACATTTAACAAATAAAATTTCATATTTTATTTTAGTTCCATTTGTTCGGTTTGGTTCGGTTTTGAAGGGTAAAAACCAAAACCGAACCAAACTACTACGGTTCGGTTCGGTTTTTTACATTCGGTTTCGGTTTTTAGCGGTTCAGTTTTATTTGGTCGCGGTTCGGTTTAATTTGATTCGGTTTTTCAGTTTTCGGTTTTTCGGACTGTTGGGAAAAAACACTCCGGACTTTCCCGCTTCGTGAAGTTAAGATAGGCACTTAGGAAATAAGGTAGCAATGGGAGCACACGATTTAAATTCTCCAATATGGAGATTCTTCCACTATACAAAAGAATAGTAGGGTATACAAGGATGTTACAAAATTGTCTCACTCAATGGTGGCTCACTCAAGCTTGAGGATGATGTCTTCCCAAGCTATCTCTCTTCTCTCTCAAAGAGGCTTTCTAACTTTCTCACTCTAGAAGTGGATTCACTCTTGGCTAGGATTGTTAGGAATGGAGGCTCCTACTCCTATTTATACAACTCCACCTCCATAATGAGTGGTGGAGAGTAGTTCTCTAGAATGATCTACACATGACTACCTATTCTAGAGAATTCCAAGGAATCTCTACACCTCTCCATTCTCTTCCATATGCTTCCATACTCTTCCATAGGCTTCCGGAAGGTTCCACACATCTCTAGAATATTCTAGAGGATTCCACATTGTTCCACAAGCTTCTAGAGAGTTATAGACTTCTCTAGGATTCTCCGGAACGTTCTAGAAAATTCTATACTTATCTAGAAAGCTCTAGAATTTTCTAGAACCTCTCCAATTAAGGAGGGATCCCAACAAATCTCCCCCTCACGACTTAATTGGGGGTAGTAGCAAACCTGCACCTTGACAGCAATCTTCGAACTTCTTTGTCGGTATTACCTTGGTCATCATGTCTGACCAGTTCTCGTCGGTGTGAACCTTGTCAAGATGCAATTTCTTTTCCTCGAGGACTTCTCGGATCCAATGATACCTTGTGTCAATGTGCTTTGTGCGGGAATGAAATGTTGAGTTTTTCGCCAAGTAAATTGCGCTTTGATTATCACATTTCAACACGTATTTTTTTTTGATCTATTCCCAGCTTGAGCAGAATGTTCTTCATCCACAACATCTCCTTGCAAGCTTCAGTAGCTGCGATGTACTCTGCCTCTGTGGTGGATAATGCAACACACTTTTGCAGCTTTGATTGCCAGGAAACAGCTCCCCCTGCAAAAGTAGTTAGGTAGCCCGATGTTGATTTCCTTGAATCAATATCACCGGCCAAGTCTGCATCTGTGTATCCTTCTAACACAGGTTTTCCTTTTCCAAAGCATAAACATCTTTTGGAAGTTCCTCGTAAATATCGGAGGATCCATTTGACCGCTACCCAATGTTCATTCCCAGGGTTGGCCAAGAAGCGACTGACGACTCCAACTGCATAGGCGATATCTGGTCTTGTGCATATCATTGCATACATGAGACTGCCTACTACCGATGAGTATGGAATCTTCTTCATTTCCTCCATTTCTTTCTCATTTGTTGGACTTTGCTTCGAACTCAACCTGAAGTGTCCAGCAAGTGGTGTGTTTACCGGCTTTGATTTGTTCATGTTGAATCGTTCCAACACTTTCTCAATGTACTTCTCTTGGGATATCCACAACAGTCTCTTCGATCTATCACGAGTTATTCTCATCCCAAGGATTTGTTTAGCCGGTCCCAAATCTTTCATGGCGAAACTCTTGCTTAGATCCTTTTTCAAGGCATCTATCTTTATGCGATCTTGTCCAATGATCAACATATCATCAACATAGAGTAGAAGTATGAGGAAGTCGCCACGTTCATACCTCTTTATGAACACACAATGATCGCTTTTTGTCTTTGTAAAGTCATGCTCTGCCATGAAGGATTCAAACTTCTTGTACCATTGCCTCGGTGCTTGCTTGAGGCCATATAAACTCTTCATGAGGCGACATACTAGATTGTCCTTACCCGGAACTTTGAAACCCTCGGGCTGCTCCATGTAGATCTCTTCCTTTAGGTCGCCATGAAGGAATGCCGTCTTGACATCGAGTTGTTCAATCTCCAAATCTTGAACTGCTGCTAGGCCAAGGACAACTCGGATGGATGACATCTTTACCACGGGAGAGAATATTTCCTCAAAGTCGATGCCTTTTTCTTGACCGAATCCTTTGACCACCAACCGAGCTTTGTAGCGAGGCTTTGAGCTACTATCTTCAGTCTTGATTCGATACACCCATTTATTCTTCAAGGCTCTTCTCCCTTTTGGTAACTCCACAAGTTCGTAAGTGTGATTCTCATGCAAGGATTGCATCTCTTCTTGCATGGCTTTTCTCCACTCTTCTTTATGAATATCATTGATTGCTTCTTTGTAACTTTGCGGCTCCCCCTCATCCGTGAGTGTAATGTAATCTTCGGTGTTATACCGGATGGATGGTCTTCTCTCCCTAGAGGATCGCCTCGGCTCTGGTGCTGGCAGAGAACTAGATTGAGGATCTTCCTGATTTGATTCATCATGAGTCTCTTGGTTGCTTTGCTCATGGTTTTCATCATCATTATCTTGATGTGTGTCATCCTCACGTTGAACTGGAGTAAGTTCGGTGTTCTTGCTTCTTCTCAATCTTGGCTTCTCCGAGTTCTTAATATCTTCAATCGTTTGATCTTCGAAGAAGATGACATCTCTGCTACGAACAACCTTCTTATTGATTGGATCCCATAGCCGATAGCCAAATTCATCCTTGGGTGAGCGAAGGTAGATACACTCCTTTGTCTTTGCATCAAGCTTTGCTCGCTCATCCTTGGGAATGTGAACAAATGCTCGGCACCCGAACACCTTAAGATGATTGTATGAAGCCTTTTTGCCCGTCCAGACTTCCTCTGGGATGGCGCCGTTCAAAGGAACTGATGGTGTGAGGTTGACAATGTCAACTACGGTCATTATAGCTTCTCCCCAAAATGATTTGGGTAACTTAGCATGAGAGAGCACACAACGAACTCTTTCTTCAATAGTTCTATTCATTCTCTCAGCTAGCCCATTCAGTTGTGGTGTCTTGGGTGGAGTCTTCTCTAGCCTAATGCCATATTTCTTGCAATAGGCTTCAAAGGGACCTCTATACTCACCTCCATTGTCCGACCGTACACACTTGATCTTCCGGCCGGTCTCACGTTCTACCTGAGCGTGGAATTCCTTGAAGGCGTCAAGCACTTGATCCTTGGATTTTAATAGGTGCAACCACACCTTCCTTGAATGATCATCAATGAAGGTCACGAAGTACAATGCACCACCAATGGATCTCTCAGACATTGAGCACACATCAGTGTGTACAAGGTCGAGGATGTTCTTTCTCCTTGTGGGCGGAGAAGATCTTTGGAAAGCAACCCTATGTTGTTTTCCAGCTAAACAATGTGCACAAGGATCGAGTGAATTACCTTTCATGTCCGGGAGGAGATGCTTGCGAGCGAGTATGTGGAGTCCCTTCTCACCGATGTGTCCAAGTCGTTTGTGCCATACCTCCATGTCATCAGTGGTTATATTTACTTCCCCTTTGCAGAGTTTGGCTTGCATCACGTACAATGAGCCTTCCTTCTTTCCTCGAGCCATGACCAGATTTCCTTTGGTGAGCTTCCATTTTCCTTCACCAAAGTAGTTCATCAGACCACCATCATCTAACTTTCCAGCAGAGATAAGATTGAGGCGCATGGCCGGGACATGCCTCACATCCTTGAGAACAAGCTTACATCCGGTGCTAGTTGTTAGGACGATGTCTCCTATCCCAACAATCTTGCTTCTATCTTGGTTTCCCATTTGAACCGTGCCAAAGTCACCGCTTTGGTAGGATGAGAAGAAACTTCCATGGGGAGTGACATGGAAGGAAGCACCAGAATCGACAATCCAAGAGCTGTCATCACAAGCAATGTTGAGAATATTACCTTCTCCAACAAGATATAGCAGATCTTCTTTTGCGACCACCGCAGTGGTACTCTTCTCTTCTTGCTTCTTTGTTGGGCTGACTTGGTCTGGTTTGACGTTACCGGCCTTTTGGTCTCTCTTGAGGGATCGACACTCCATTTTCCTATGGCCCAATCTTCCACAGTAGTAGCATGTG